TTATTTGAGATCATAAAACAACCACTAATAAACAATGTAAATTTGCAGGCCCCTCAAACCTCCGCATCCCTGGTAAGAATAGATGGAATATTTGGAGTTCAGAATATTTGGAGTTTCTGTTGTTACAGTTTCAGATAATGTATTATTCAGGTAGCAACAGAGCAATTATGTTTCCTGTCTGAATAATACATTTTCCATTAAGCATTATGATAGTACCCTCTCTGTGCTATTACAGCTCAGATCAGGGAGCTTATTTTCCAAGGTTGTCCCATTATCATCTCTGCTCATATCTGATATACTGTCATGAAACAGTTTGCCTGAAACCTACTGTAATTAGACGCTGTGGACTCATTTTCTCTTTGTGTCTCGGAGGTTTGTGTTACTGTCGCCTGTGGCCAAACTGTGTCTCATTTATTGTGTCACGCCGCCGGATTCAAGGGTGAAAATGATATATGTGCTTTGATGTGCTGTCCTGTGCTTACTCACGATTGTATCACGCAGCCTTTTATTGTTAAAGTGCTCGTACAGATCAGCTTAGTCATACAGTCGCTCTTGTAGAGTTACACATCCTTTGGGTTTGAGGCTGATTTCTCAAGTGTGTACTAAAGCCTCTTAAAGGGAGAAAAATAGAGATTTCGAGAATAAAGTCATAACAATACATATGTCAGAATACCAGGGTTTCCATGCTGATTAGTTCCGATTTTCTTTTCTTCTCCAAATATGGCTTTTTTTCTCCTTAAATTATGACTTTATTCTCATATTATTTCAAACAACATTACAACTTTACTCTTGTAATATTACATCTTTATTCTTGAACTCTTTCTTGACTATGACCCTTATACTCTATCATACTAAAGCCTCAGAGAACTTATGCTTATTTCTTCAAAGCAAAGCTGCACAAGGAAACGGAAAGTCAACTACACGAACAGATATGTCAGGTTTATGGAATGAGCATCTTTGTTCAACTTTACAGTATCTACTCAGTTCAGATTGTGGTTGTTTCAATTCCATCCGTTTCCTTTTCAATGTGGTACCAAAGACCAAGGCAAAGGTCAACCCTCATGACACAATGATCTCATGATGATTGACGTCCTGTAAGGAGATCCCGCTCAGTGACATGTCAGGAGGAAGTAGGAGTATGCCACACACAGAGCCTTGATGTGGCATCTCAGACTTCTGCAAACTTTCTGTATTATCCGTGTGGTTGTTGTCGTCCTGAAGCTGAGGCCCCAAGCTGAACTTAGGGGGCTTCTTGTGCTACTGCTGATGCCAGACAGAGGATGAGATGAGAGGGTATTTGAGTCTGAGTTATGTGTGGGTCTGCTATTTGTACTGCTATGAGACGTGCTTCCACGAATAGTTTCATTGCCTGGTGAAGACAGGAAGCCCCCTGACCTTAATCCCTCTACTGCCAGTGTTCCTGAACACAGCTACTGCAGGTTTTGTTCTGTTCTGTTGTACATCAGCCAGATAACATGCAACAGGTAAATACTGGTGTATATATGATAACTATTGAAAAAGGAGAATAAGTTGTGATGGGAATGGATAAAGACTGTATATTACATTTTGACTTCAAAGTAGATTGTCCAAACTGTGTCATTCATTTGAACCAGACTCTGGTTTGTTTTCCTGCTTGGCATGTAGAGTTTGTACAGATCTGACCGCAGCAATCATACTTGGGTGTGGAAATCAAGCAGCTGCACTGAGACCCCTTTACAGTTAGTGGTTAGTCACAAACAAATGCTTGAGTGGTTTATTTGTGGGAGCAACGTGACCCAAACTCTATTTCAACCAAGTAAAAGGCATATTCTGCAAGTTTGAGCAAAAGGGCTCCTGTAGCCAGATGAATGTTGTTTACTGGGTTGACGAAATCAAATTGAAAAATCAAAGTTGGTTGAGAATGATATAATGTCTGACCTGGTATTCTTCATCATATTGGGTTGGATGGAACCTTTTTCAGGACCTGATGGGTCATTACCTTTAATGGTATTTGGTAACAATGGACAAATGCCAGTTTGACAAAGTCATTTCAAAGTAATTCATTTAATATTTGTTTAAATATTTTAATCAGGACCAAAGATTGTTAGATTGATGCTTCAGTCCCTAGAACCACCCTGTTGTTCTGCCTGAAAACACTGAGACTCAGTATAATAGTACAGCAGGCTTTAATGTCCTACATCAACATACCACAGCCCCATGGTAGCGTGATAAAGCATGAAGCATTCTGCAGATATAAATGTATAGGTTAATGCCACAGGCCTGTAAATCATATCCACCAACATAGTCTTACAGGCTGGAAAACCTCCAGCTTTTCCATTTCCATGTCTTTTTTTAAATTGACCTCGTGATTTAATGTAAAGGTTCTGTATTAGAGTGCATCAACAAAGGTGGGGGAAGCCAGCTCTGCTTTGATGGTTTGATGGAGGACACAAATCATCTGTTGTTGTTTTGTTTGTCTTGAGAGAAACCCTAATGGACCGGTTCTCGTCTCTTTCTCTGAATATTTTTTTTCTCAGAAAAATGTATACATTTAAACAAGGATTTTTTTCTGTTTTGAGTCCAGCATGATAGTGTCACTAACAATATTGTCAGACTGTGATTTATCAGTGC